CTCCCCCCCCCCCTTGTACATTTTGATATGGCGGAACAGTGTCTTTAAAAAAGGTTGGCCATACTGTACAGTGTTAGAGTGACATTGATGCACTTCACCACTGACGATCCACTAAATAATAAAATTGCTACAATATACACAATAACGCACCAAATCAGGTTCTTCTCGGACAACACAGCTTATTTTGAGACGCTAATTCCGAATATGAAATCAGTTTTTACCAACAATCATTATTTTAACAATTTTGAGCCCCTAGTTTAATTCTGCGCCGCGGAAAATTTCAAAGGGAATCTACGTCACAGCGCACCTTCCCCAAATCTGACTGTGATCGCACGAAAAATATCGAGCAGCGCTTGATTTCTCGACCGAGTCTCCAAACCATTGTTTAATCGTACAAATTTTGTACAATTTTGTGGCTACACCTGACGATTTATCGTATGATCGCTAGATCGTCCAGTTTTTGTACAATTTATTGTTACATGATGTAACCGAGCTTTAACCGGGCCTTGAGAGTCAAATGGAGGTACGGCAAGACTGGTTGTGCCGGAGACAACGGTTGTGCCCCGAACTTGTTGTTACTTTTAGTTTTGCAAGAATAAAATACATGTACAACTCTCTTTTCGCTCTTGTTTTTAGTCGCAAAGAGTCAAGAGCTTACTATAGGCCTAGTCCGTTTACTTTTGTTGTGCCCCCAGTTTCAGTTTCTTGTCATTTTCTCGAAACCTGTCTGCTGTATTACCCTGCTTTTTGCATTCAGACTTATTTTTAACTGACCTTAAGGTTCTCGTGTCTTTTCATTTGCTTGTTAAATGGTTAATTCAAAGCTGTGAATTTTATTGACATGATTCCTGATCTAAAGGTTTAAGTTTACAGTTACGATGGCCTTTAGCCATTGACTTACTTGTACTCTTGTACCTCTCGGGCGTCGACGGGGAGAAAGAACTTAATTCTGTCTCTAGCAAGCTGGATGGCCTGGCTAGGGGGGGGGGGGGCGTTGTGTGTTTTCAGTTTTTTAGGGTATACTTCACACGCTCGATCCAGATCTTTCTTGGTCTTCCGCTTGCCTTGTACCCTGACATTTTTTTTGTAGCACGCTTTAATGGCAAACTTGTTATGTATCGTACGTGTCAGATATGTAAACCACCTGATTGTTTGCCTCTGGATGTAGTGGAGGACAGGTGCTGTTCCCATCATTTCTCCTATCATGTTGTTTCTGATCCTGTTGTTTCTGATCATGCCACCATCTGGTTTTGTTAACGGCCCCCCTAAGACATCTCATCTCGCAGGTGTTTATCTTGCGTTCCAGACTTTTGGTCAAGGTACATGTTGGGCATTGGTAAGTCAAGTTGAGGGCGAAGATAGAGTCAATGAGATTGGCTTTGGTCTCAGTAGGGATGTTAGGACGGTTGAGGAGCGGGACAAGCTGTTGGCTGATGCTGTAGTGTTAGCTTTCTGTACTCTCTTTTGAAAAATCCGTCTTCCAAGAAAACTGCCAAGTCACTTGAACTCACTGACTTGTTTCATCAGAGTGCCGTCTATACTGATACATGTATTGGGGTTGCCAGGTGTTCTGCTGACTTACATCATCCCGGTTTTAGTTTTGCTGATCTTCATGTTGAGCTTTTCACACTGTGTATTTATCCTGTCTGTATGCTCTTGAAGTTGCTTGTATTTTTCATATGCCAGGCTTTGGGGTCGTCCGTAAACAGCATCTCATACTGGTCTTTCGGTTTGGGATGACAAATGTGCTTGTTTCGTAATTTTGTCCATGAATGTGATGAAAAGTAGCGGTAACACACATTTGTCTCCCTTCAAGTGACACGTCGAACCAGTCAGTGTGTCCCTTTTGGGTGACTATGCTCATACTGTTGGTGTAGTTGGCTCTGACATTGCCCAACAGCTATTGATTTTTTAAATTTTAATTTGTAAGTGTTTAAGGGTTCAGGAGTATGACAAAAGCTTGCAACGCGGAGAGAATGCCATCATCATCATCCTCATCCTCATCCTCATCATCCTCATCATCATCATCATCATCATCATCATCGTCATCGTCACCATCATCCTCATCATCATGGCCTTTCTCACCCCGGTTCAGAATATAGGCCACAAGCAAACGCTTTTCACCTTTCCCTATCCTGGGTTAGCCTCTTGATGTTATTTCATGTCTCCCCACGTTTCTTAACATCAATTCCTGGGACTCTTCTCCAGGGTCTACGTGGTCCTCCCCTTGATCTTTTACTCTGTGGGTTCAATTCCTTCCCATCTCATATCTGATTGGGCTCTGTCTTGGTCTCCTTATCACTTCCTCGTTGGTGACCCTGTCTGTCCATCTGATCCTCAATAACTTCCTTAGACACTTGCTCAAGAAAACATGGATCCTCTTTTAGGCAAGTCTAAGATGCGTTCTACGCATCACATCCATGCAACAAGACCTAGATTACTTCATAATGTAAGCGCTATATATTGTCACTACTGATGAACAGTGGCCTCAACAGTGCAGACCTTTTTGGCCGATACCGCACCTAGAAAATCTGTCTTTAGGCACACTAAAGCCTGTGTTTTAGGGAGTTGTGAACAATGGAGTAATACCAACCCTACTGCACTACTTAGACTCAACATTTTAGTCGTGAAAAGTTGTGAACCGCCACAAACCGAGTACGACAAGTCTGACTAAATACTGGTTTGCGCCAGTAAGAGAACAGAGCAGTCTGCCACACTAAGATAAAACTGCCCTAAAATATGAGGACATGTTGAGTTCCGTACACCAACACTACACATACATACATACATACGTCAGGTCGTGTTTTGATGACACGCCGAGGCGCTTTTCCCTTTCGTCAACCCGCAGCCACCTCCCAATCGTCAGTCGTCAGCCACCCCCAACCTTTGACACGGGTCAAACTTCCATCTATTTATAGGTAGTTACCGGAACATGTATAGGT